TTTTTTTTTCTCTTCGTTTTTGCATAAAGATGATCCCAATTACACCATTAGGCATCCAAAAGGAAATCATAATAAGTCTCCCTGACATTATAATTGATTCTGAACAAAAGGTTCATAATTATATTTCACTAAGCATGTATGATATTTGCATATAATATATTTAGCTTATTTATAGTCGAAATTTTTACACTTTAGACAGTCATTAAGGAATTAATAAAGTTGATTGATAATGACTATCGACTAATCGTTCCCATACTTGATGCACTAACTCATTTCACGCTTCAAGAAGATCTGATGTGTAGTGTTCAACAAACAGTTTTCGATCGACTGGAATCCGCAGATTTAGATGATCTGGCCGTTGTCGTAAAGTTCTTATTGCAAACGTCCATTCCAGATGATGCATACAATGTAATTTTCGTATACAATGATTTTATAATGATTATTGTCCTCAGTTCTCACAATATAAAGTTATTTTGCAGGTAGTACAGCAGATTAGAGATAAAGTCGATTTCCATTCAATAGGCGAGCTGCAAAGTGAAGCCCTGAATTCAAAGAAGCATCAAAAGAGGAAAAAAGAACAAATTCCGGAGGCTTTGATACTAGACTCGATTAAATTGGGTATCGACATCCACAAGTTTGTTAAAGATGCATGGTTAAAAGCAATCAATGATGTTAATACAAAGGTATCGTTTTAATAGTTATCGATTTGATAATTTGAATATTTTCTAGTGTCTAAAATTTACTTATACGTCAACAGAGCAATCATAAAATAATCGATATATTGATTTTATTGATTTTGCACTCCATTCCAAGCACAAAGAAAAAAGTTGAAACAATCTTTCATAAAAAGATTGTGAGTGGATTGTTTACACCAGATCTTTTAGAAAAGACAATAAGATATCACTTTGAAGGCTTACGAGAATATTTTAGTGATATTCTTTTATTGTCAGAGTGTCTTCTTCGATCAAGTCAGCAACAAACCACCGTGTCACGTGCAGCATGTACTTTGTATCACAGTGCATTCATGGTATTCGAGCCATACCAACAGCAAGAAATTGTAGCATCATTAGTAACTCATATTGGATGTGGTTCGCCTATTGAAATTGAATCAGCACTTTCAGTGCTGTCACATTTAGTTAAGACGGATATAAAAAAGATGAGCCGTTTTGCAATTTTTGTAAAAGGACTTTTAGATTACTTGGATAATCTTAATATAGATCAGATTCGAGTCTTGTTCGATGTGATTAGCAAATTAGTTTATGAGGTGAGGTTTTTATGAACAACGACCATATTTAATGAGTATCAATATCAAAATTCGTTAATCGATTTACTTAAATGGTTTAAAAAATCTAAGGATTCAAACTATGATGGTTCAAATGGCGGTTTACTCGCCGAGTTCTCAATTGTCATTCAGAAACAGTTGTCTAATCCTAACGAGAAGTATAAACAGATAGGCGTTATAGGTGCACTTGCTTTAGTGCAAACATTGGGTTCTACTCAGAATGCAGAAAATCCTAATCACGAAAGTATGTTTCATAATATTGATTACACATTTTGTATGATTAGTCCTATCACTATATAGATATAATTGTTTTCTATTCATAGAAATGATAAATACTGCTATAGAAAGCTTCTCAAAGATTGAACGTTATTGTGCACGATCAATGGTAAATTTAGTTTATGAATAAATGTTGCATTATTCTTTTTAATTCATCAAATTTTTTTTTTTTAAATTCGTAGACGTGCCTTGCATTTGCTTATGATGAACTCGCGTGGTTCATATCTAACGGAATTTTGGAACGTAGTTTAGTTGATTGGATTTATGACAAGGTTGAGAACATGTTTTCAGATACTTATATAATAGACAACGATGACTTGGCCAAATTAAGAGATGATCATTACTATTTAAAAGAAATGCCAATAGAAATTTGGTTTGAAGCAGAGTGTGATGTAAGAATGAATTTGATCATTCGAATCACTTGCAAAGCTATATAATAATCTTATTAAAATATTCGTTTTATATTAGACTGATGACTTACCAAAGTTTAACGTTTACCCTATGTTGTGCGAACCTCATGTTTCGCAAGAGTTACGTATGCAACATCTGTTCAAACGAGATCATGTAATATGTTGCTGTTCGATGTTGAGATTAGTACAAGCTTGTCTAAAAGTAAAAAAGGGAAGCATGACAGAAATCGGTGCTTTGTTAAGCACTGGATTGCTTATGTACGAAAAAGTTGATATTGATGTATGAAATTAATTATTATATGTTGACTATTTCGAATGACCTAATTTTATGCCAGTATGTTATTAATGATGTTTCCTTTATTAATAGCGTATGAAGTCGGACGATTACTCTAAATTAATGCGTGAGACAGCCTGCGATGCATTATTTTATTCTATAAATTGGTGAATAAATTTATTAAAAGATATCTACTTGAATATCTAATTTGTTTGTAGTACATTTTTAACTGCTTATGAATTCCAGGTGTCGGGAACTCGTTAACGACTTCTGGGGCACGGATGTAGACAATCATAGTAAGTTTTAAGCATCTTGTATTGCCAAAAATATTCGAATTTTGTCCAATATTATTATATTTTATCAGGGAATGTCGTTGCGAAATTGCGACATGTTATCGAGCTTGAAAAATTATTAAACGATTTATTGGAAATAACGCCCTCTTTTCAACCTTTCGGATTCGTAACTCATACACCAACTAAAAACGCAAAATCTAGTGCTGTATCTGTTGTGGTTGGATCAGTGCCAAGAAATTTTGTCAAAACTGGATCAACAGTTCGACGTTCTGGCATTAGTAAAAGTAAGATTGTAAGCACACGTAGGCCTGAAGTAGAAAAAGATGAGGAGCAAGGCAAGGGCACTAGTGATTCTAGTAATTGTACACCTAAATTTGCTTCAGTTTCCGACTTAAGGCCACTAATGCGTGAGCTGGCTTTGCCAGTGTTTGACATGCTTAAAAATGGAAATTTCAAAAAATCTACGAATGATGACGAATCTACTAAAATGTCTGATGATGCAGATGAAAGTCAATTGCGACCTGCAGAGATAGTTTACCTTCTTGAAGATCTTAAGAACAAGCTTGATTTTAAACTTTCGCCACCGGCGTCGAATGTTCCTTTTTTTGCAAAGAAAACGAAAAAAACGGAACCTGGAAACAATTCTGATGAGTTTGCCTTGATTGCTCGTCTGGCTTCTTTAGACGTTGTTAAGCAAGTCTCTCTTAAATTTGTTCCGCATTTATTGCGACACTTGGACTCAATATGTGAAGAATTAAACTCTACAGATGATTATATAATCGAAGATGATGTAGAAGAAGCATTACAGCGTTGCCTACAATTAATACTTGAGATTATTCATAGATTACTTTGTTGGAGCGAATTGAAAAGCATAGATAATAAAGAGACGTTGGTTACTGTGTTAAAACAGTTATGTCCAAAGGCATTATCTTCAGCTTCTAGACTTACATTAGTACATTCTGAGCTTCTTCAACAATCTGCCAATGAAGCATTTCAATACTTACATGGCTTTGTATCAAGGCTTCCAACTGCAAATTTAGCCATATTGTTGCACAAGATTCTTAAAATAATAGCTGAATTCGCTCCGAATTCGAGCGAACTTTTTGCAAAATCCGGAGAGGTAGCGCGAAATTTTACATCACGTACATGGGATGATATTAATAAATTGGATTCTGAATCCATTATATATTTATTGCGAAATGATATTAGACATTCGTCAAACCCAATAGATAGAATAAAATTTTATGCAAGTGATGTTCTTCCTTCTCTAGATTCACGGGATGATAACATTACAGAGTCATATCCATTACTTAATAGAAATACGTTCCCACATTTTTACAAAGCATTGTTTATAGAGCTTATTGAAGTGCTTCAAGAATTTAGGTCAGGGAATTTTAACACTGTAGATGAAACTTTGGCACACATTTCCAATACGGTTGAATGTTTGCAGAAGTTGGTTTCATTTATAAGGATCAATCATAAGCGTACTGTTTTATCAGTAACATTAAAATATGGCCGTAGCTTTATTGATACTTTTATTAAGCAAATGTTACCATTGATGGATCAACATTTCAATTCATATCGTGATGAGGTCTTAAACATATTTAAGACATTCCAAATGTCTACACGGAATCTCCAAGTATGTTCTTAGAATTCTCAAATTTTTTTGCAATTGGTTTATCATTCACCTTACTCTTTCTAAATGAACATATCTAGGCACTTTGCAATCATGTAAAGGTTAACAAAGAATCTCAGTTGTCAGCGATGGTACCACTTGTAAAAAAGTCATTAGAGATTGTAATTTTCCAAGTTAAAGCTTTAATTCAGCATAACGGGCTGCCACTATCAACATTCTTTTTAGGAGAACTTAAACATCGTGACATTGATGGACGTGAAGTCGACTCTGATGATCAAAGGGATGATAGATCACAAAGAGATGACATAAATTCCGTATTGGATGAAGATGAAGATGATGATGGTGATGATAAAGATGTGGAGAATATGGAAGAAGACGAAGAAGATAATGATGTTGAGGATGGTGATTGTGACAACGAAAGTTCTGTCAATATTTCAGGTATGTTGAAATTATGTATAAAATTGGTTGTAAAGAGGTAAATTTTCATAGCTTACTTTATCGTTGTTATTTTTCGAATCAAGATGTAGAAGAAGCCCATTCTTCTAAACGCAAGCGATCTACTCTTGATGAGGGGCCCTCTTATGCTAAAC